CCCACCGTTTCCTGGCCAGTATCTCCCAGGAATGGACTACGCAGCAGTACGTCTAGCGGACTTGTGCCGTGATGAACGATTCCAGCAGCTCAGAGGCTGACTAGAACAGCTCGGTCCTAGGAGGCTTCCTGCACGCGTTGATGCTGTCCGCTGCGGAGAAGTTCATCGTTGCGGAGCTCGGCGATGAACGGTTTCCCGACCCCGTGCATGCATTCGTGCAGTTCCTGAGCATGGTTCCTCCTGGTCCCGTCTCAATCACCTGCAAACTCTTGCGCGTTTCCTCACGGCAGTGTGTGGTCAACGTGGAGCTGGTACGCTCTCACACCGCGCTGTGGAAGAAGCCGGAACTTCCGGCTACTGTTGGAATCTTCACATATGGTGACCTATCCAAGGAAAAAGGTCTGTCGCAGGCAAGCGACCCTGCGTTGAGGATTCCTGCCCCTCCGCGTGAGACCGAGTGCGTCACCATCGATGACCCGGTGGTTGATGCGACTCCCGTCACGCGGAAACTGAACTGGGTAGCGCCGAGGTCCGCAAACGGGCTCTGGGGTCATCGACTGGGAGGGCATCACCGTGAGGTCTGGTTGTCCTTCCGCGATGGGTCGAAGATCTCCGACTTTCTGCATCTAGCCTTGCTGTCAGATACGGTGAGCCCACATGGAAATCAACAAGCCGTTGCTGAAAGCTAATCAACTGCCTCGAACAGCCTCTTCAGCCTGCTGCAACCCACCAACCAGGCTTCTACAACCGTTACGCACTGTCCACGCTCTGCTTTTCCGTCGAGTTCAAGCGACGGCCCGACCCGTCCACGCAGTGGGTGATGATCCGGTCGAACTCGCACATGGTGTCCAATGGCCGCTATGATGTAAACCTTCAGATCCTAGCGGAGAACGGCGATATCCTGGCTCTCAGCAACCATGTGCTGTATATATCGGAGCTTCGTCCACGAAAGGGGTCTAAGATGTAGCCAGGAATTCTTTGGCTTGGGCGCAGATTTGTCCGCCTCACCTTTTTTTCATCGTTTCGAATTGTCACGCTATTCATAAATATCACAAGCTACAGGAAGAGCCTGCTATCCGGCACGAACAAGCCACCACTGTCCTGATTACTGCAATCCGGATATCACACAAGCCGCTCGAGATTGGCTAGTCACTTGCCGTTTGTGTAGTACCCTCCTTACAGCATGATCTTCATTTGGAAATGGACATAGGGCTTAGGGCTAGGGCCAACTTTTTGAATGAAGCACAAGTACCACCAAGAACAGACTTGAAACACCATGCTGAGGGCCAGACTTTTCTTCTGGACTAATGCATGCGAAAACCGGGAAAAAAGTACGATGAGAATATGACTCCTCTGCGTTGTGACATGTCACATCTTGCCCTGTTCCCGCCCACCTAATGTACCCTCATCACGCATAGTATAGTTCCAGCCTTCCATCCCTCTAATCCAGCTCGTAATTTTCCCCTCTTCTTCTTGGCTACTTCAAATTGGACTCTGATCAGCCGCTCCAACCGCTAATTAGTCAATAATACTTAAGCAGCCCCACCATAGATGTCATCCATGTCGTACCCCCCATGACCGTGAAAGTACAAACCCGCCATATCGAACTCATCATGTTCAATAGCAGGCACATCAATATCGCCGCCAGCAACATGACCGATCCCCCGGCCTTCCTGCTTGACAGCACCGCCAAAGGCAGACGAGAAGCTCTCGGCGGCATCCTCCATCTTCATCGAGGCAAATGAAGCAGACGAGCCGGTGGGCGTACTCGCACCCGTCAGATCATGCACAACCGCCGAATGACCCACAAGCCCAGTGAGTATCTCAGCAGCCTCGCTCTTCACCTTCTTGTCTTCCTCGGATAGCCCGTCGTCAAGGAAGATCGCCTCCATGAACGACATGCCGTTGCCGTTGTTGTTGCTGCTGCCACCTCTGCCCTGGCCCCGTTTGGTCGGGGTCGAGAGCAACTGGCTAACAGTGTTCTTCCTACTTCTCCCGGTAGAAGAAGATGGTTTGGTGATTCCGCCGCGTGGTCCGCGCGGGGTCCGGGGCGTGACGCTGCTGCTGCTTGTGGTGCCGTTCCGGCCGCGCGGTAGCTCGGTGATGCCCCTGCTCAGCGCGTCGGCTTTGACTTCGTCGGCCATTTTGCGGTAGCGGCGGAAGCGGCCCTCAATGGCGTCGTAAGTGGCTCCCTGTCCGAAGAGGGTGGCCATTGCTTGGTATTCGAGCTGTGGGAGAGTGAGCTTGGTGTTTGTGGCTGGGGCTGAGGAGGTAGGAACCTTTAGGCCTGGGTGAGCTGCGATGAGCACCGCGATCAGACGGTCGGTGGACTCGTTGGCTTTCCAGTTGACCATTTTGTATGGATTTTTGGAGGAGATTCGGGGATTCGTAATGGTACTTGTACTTGAGGGGTGACTGGAACGAATAGCGGTGCAGATTGCTTGGATTTAGGTAAAGTAGATGGCATCGATGTAGCCCAGGAACATTTATAGGGATTCTGAGTGAAGTGTGTTTCTGGAGATCGTAATGTGTAGTGGGAGGAATTACAAAAGAGACCTAAAGTTCGAGTAGTCAGCCACAGCCTTTGCTCTGATTTACATGTAGACTGACTCGAATGTTAGAGAAAAGGGGCATAATTACAACACAGAACACTGGGAATCTCTGTCAAAACTTCCAAGTAGTAGGAAAGATGCAGACTGGAGATAGTCTGTGAATGTCGAGGTTGAGTACAGGTACAAGTAGAAGTGAATCATCAGAGCACTAAGCAGGTAGCAAGGAGGGGGAAGAAGTAATTGACAGAAACTTATACATACAATCTTTAAACCCACAAGAAAATGAATAAAACCCCTACAATGTGCCTTGAATGTTGTAGTTCTCAAGACTTTGCGAATGCGCATTGGCAACACATCCTTGAACTTAAATCAATGGCGATCCCTAACAATTGACCAAACAGAAGAGCAGGAAGAAAGCATCAAACATCCGATGCAGATAATCTAACGCCATCATCCATACTAGATGCTTGGATAGTTGATAGATCCATCAGACAGACAAAGATGCAGGAACATCCTGGACAGCGATGATGCAAAGGTGGAAGGATTCTGGCGATTGACTTGTAGATGTGAGGACTCGGGCTGGGTTGTCTCCCTACACCGCTTATCTGCTGTAAGAAATTAAAGTGACAGATGGATGATGTTAAAACTCTTGTATAAGTGATCTGGTTGGGATACAGCAGGTTGTGGAAAATGACAAATGTAGCATACAAAATAGGTGTGAGGGGTGTGAGCTACTCCCACAGACTGTCACCCTCCTAGAGTTTTAGATGAGGGAATTACAACAACACCAGTGAGATGTGGATGATCTTGTACGTAGATCCATGGGATATACACTGCTAGAGCTATACAGTCACACTCACAGAGAGACAGAAAAAGCTGAGACCTGCTTCTTCCTCGTCCTCTCTTCTCAGGACTCCTCCGCAACATATTCCCTCGCCTTTTTACCTTCTTTACTCTTCTCACCTTGACCTACCTTGATATCTACTTTCTCTACCTCCAGCAAGCTTTCTCCTTACTCACTTTTACTCTTCAGATCTCCTCTACCTCTTGATTATACCATCCAGCTACTTACTTGCCCTCTTCTTCCACTCTGCCATACACACTCCTCAACACCATCAACCACAGACATGCCTATGCGCTGGACCCCAGAAAATGATCAGCTTGTGAGTACACTGCCTTCACTATGGAAATCAGGACTGACACCATGACTCAACACAAGCTTTTGCTGAAAATTCTCGAGACCCATGACCTTTCCGTTGACACAAACAAGGTCGCTTCGGCCTGGCGTAAGTTCCATGATTCAAGTCCTCTATTCCAAGCATTATATATAACAACCACTAACAGTAAGCAGCTGGTGCTGATGAAAATGAAAAGCCGACTCCTCGCGCAATAAGGGAGCGTCTCGTGAAGATGCGCCAAATTGTCAAAGCTTCCGGCAGTGATGGTTTCACCATTGGTAGCAAGACGGGAAGCGAGACGTCAACTCCAAAGAAGGCCAAAAAAACTGCTACTCCCGTCAAGACCCCCGGCTCCAAGCGCAAGCGCGGTGGAAAAGCCGGTGCATTTGCTGATGCAAACGAGAACACCAACCCTCTCAAGAACGAGGAGAATGCCATCAGCCCGGTCAAAATGGAAGTCGGCGAGGACGAGATCGACACGCCTACTAAGAAGAAGCCTCTCCACCCGACTCTTTCAGGAAATCAGGCCCAGGCCCAGAGTGGCTTCGTGAAGATCGAGAGATCTGATGAACCAGTCTTTGGTATTCTGAACACTCCTACCAAGCGTTCCCGCAAGGCGAGCGTTCTTCCCAATGGTATGGTCAGCTACGAGGGCGATGACCAGGGAGAGGATGATCCTGAGAGCTCTGCTTCTGAGTTCCTTCCTGATGAGGCGGGTGTGAAAATGGAAGATATGGACATGATGAACTTTGCCTGATTTGATGCTGCTGGGCTGGCTGGGTTTCTGGTTCTTGTAGCTTTGAGTTGGCCGCTGGTTTGGAAATTGCGAAGGTAGCAAGGTCCACTTATCCTTTTTGTATCTAAGGTTGTGACAAGCATGCAATGCAATCTGTGATTATTATTGCCAAAGGCCACAGATGAGTAGCTCTTACAGTACTGCATTTGTAAATGCGAAAGAACCCCGTCGCGGAATCCAGCCACAAGGGCACAGTCCGCATTAACAGATTGGCCTGATACGCCTATACAATGTTGCCTGAGTCCAGGAGCTACCAGAAAGACGCAGTATCTCAACTTAACATTTCAATTCCCAGGCTGTATTCCAGATAACGACTGTCCTAAGAAGCAAGTACCACAGGCACTGTCTAAAGACTGGGTTCGCCCCCATAAACCATAAATCCCAGCTACAAAACCAGAACACAACGCACCAACACAAGCCGGAAAGCAACCCTCATCACCAGGGAACTGATACAGGGAAGCAAATCAGATAAGCTCAAGCGCTGTCAACAACATCGGAACCGTTCTCATCTGTCTCCTCTTTTTTAATCTTCTTAGGACTAGCCTTGTCTTTGTCCGCGGCGTCCTTCTTTCCGCGGCCGCGTTTGCGCTTCTCCGGAGTAGCAGGAGCAGAAGAGTCGCCATTGACAGCAATTCCAGCCCTAGGATCCACTCTGAGGCGTTGAATTCTGCTCCTGATAGCGATGATAGTGCAATCTATGGTCATTTCGTGTCAGCAAACTCCGCTCCTGAAAGTTCTTTTAGTGAAGGTATAATTTGTATAGGTACTAACCGGGTCCCATGTGCTTGGCAAGGTCTTCGTAGTCAAGATTGATGTTGCTGGTAGTGAAGATCCTGAGGAGAAGCTGTTCTTGTCAGCCTTGGTGTTATTCAAGTGGTGTTAAAATGGGGCGCACCTTTGCATCAGCTTCGTGATCCCAAGTTATAGGCATGATGTCGGTTGTTTTGGAGATTTAAGGACAAGAAGACTCGTGAAGTGAGGTTGTGGTTGAATCAACGTAAAGCCTGATTGAAGGGCTGATTGAAGCTGTCGAATAGGTAGAGTAAGAAGAGATCTTGAGAGATGAAAGGTTGATGTAGAGTAAACGGACGATGGGGTTGTGAGAAGAAGAGGAGAGGGAAGTTCAAAAGAGCTGGGCTGTTTATCTGTGTTGCTGTAGCTGTAGCTGGCGAGGACCCGAAGCGGAACCGGGGCTAAGTAGTTATTATTCACCTGGAACAGTAACACAGCTGCCCTATTCAAGCAGAGGGTGCCTCCACCGGACTTAAAGTAGTTGCCCTTTACCAAGCTGAAGGTTGACCGAGAGTGTCGAGAGGGCACAGTGGGGAAGCCAGAGGGCAATACAACAAGACATAAGCCTTAAGCTAGAGGCTGGCTTGTTTTCCTTCTACTTCGCACTATAAGCAAATGTGAAGAGCTCTGGAGACGATGCTCTCAATTCATATTCAAAACACTCTTAGAGAGCTAGGTATCTCGAGATGTCAAAAGCTTACTCAGCCACTATCTAGCGCGCTCGAATATAAATTTGTTGTATGCTTCAGGATGGTAGGCTGAGAAGTAGTCATCATATAATAACTCTTCTCTGGCTTTCTTCCGCGTCTTCAAATCATCGAATTGCCTGAATACTCGACCTAGGGTGATGTAGAGCTCTGCATAAGCGAGTCTACACAATGTCAGTGACAACAATCGCGATTCAAGTATGATTCAAGACAATACGCACTGCATCCCAACACATTGCCGCGGGCCCCTACCAAACGAGAACAGGTGCTTTTCGAGGGCGTTGCGGGTGGCAGGGTCCTGCCAGCGTGCCGGATCAAACTTCTCTGCGTTCGGAAATAAGTCCTCGTTTCGATGCAGCATCCACGAGCTCATGCTGACGGTAGTCTACATCGATCAGTATCACCAACCAAGAAAAGGATACATCTCTTATACCCCCCCTGGGACATGGTAGCCATGGAACTCAGCACCTGGCTCGGGAACGGTTCTTGGAATTCGGCCAACGACACCATATGACAATCTAGGTTGTGTAAGTGGACTTCTCATAGTACGGTGGAATGTACTTACCGAAGTCCCTCCTTGATCACTGCAGTCTGCGGAATTTAGTTCATCATGTTTAAAGCCCGACGATAGTATGGGTGCAACTTACCAAATAGGGTAATTTCTCAAGGGTCACCAGGTCCATTTTCGCTTCAGGGTCAGGAAACCTCTCTCTCAGCTCTGCTGTCAGACGTTCATATATCTCTGGATTGGTAACAACATTATATGCTGCCATTGTCATGGCGTTACCGGTTGTATCAGCAGCGGCGGCAATGAGGACATAAGCATCGTCACTGAGTTGCTCGACACTGGGCATTTTGTATCCTTCCGTGTCGTCTGGTCGAAGGAGTTGGTGGAAAACAGTCTTTCGTGAGACTTTATCACCTTTTTCCACGGCCTCCTTGACTTCCAGGATCTGGTGCTTGCAACGCTGGACAGAATGCAAATCAATCTTGACCACCGGCCAAATGCGTTATGAGCAGATGTTTCTTACCTCGCGATAGAGCATCATCCTTGACAGTGACTTGCCCGTCAATTTGGCGAGCCAGAATGGAGTCTGAATAGCCAGATCTCGCATGAAAGGAAATTCCTGGAAGAACCACAATGTAGGACCTATGTCACGAATCATCTTGAATATCTCAAATCCAAAGTTCTCCTTGTCCAAGCAACCATAGCAATCATCGAACGCATAGTCGGTGAGGACGTCAAGGGAAACTGCCCGAAATCCGTAGTGCAGGTCAATATATCCCGTAGACTCTAACGCCGATCGCATCCGACTTGTCAACTTCTGCGCCTTTGCTTGTACGACGTCTTCTAGCTCGAAGACCATTTTGCGCGAAAAGAAAGGATTCAAAGCTGCTCGTCTGACCCGATGGAGGTCATTATCGGGAATGGTCAACAAGGAATTATCTAAACCAAATGCACGGTAGAAGGCTGGGCTTTTGCCAAACCGAGATCCAAAATAGTAGATCTTATCAAGGTCTTCTGGGTCGCTGAGGTGGATCTCATCTGGTGAGATACGTACTGTTGGGCCTAATCCTGGTAATTAGCAGGATATATCGTCCACGATGAGGTGATTTGACTTACCATATCTTTGATGGAGCTTCTCGATCTGCAGATAAAGCCTTCCGCCATGTGCGTTGTACCAAAAGGAGTAAAAGAAGAACGCTCTTGCGAGAAGAGGTCCTGGGACCTTCGCCAACGGATGGAAGAACAATCGGTAGATAATAACCCAGACGCCCCGCACCACGGTTACAGAGAAAAGGATGGCTACGATGTACCATGTGATAAACATATTAAAGAACGTGGCAGCGATATTGACTCTGGGGCCTTATTTGAGTAATTTCAGGAAAGAAAGAAGTAGAATAGTTGAAGGATGGAAAAGTGACCAAGTAGTGTGCAATACCCAGGATATATAGTGACCTTTCAGTACGAAAGGCATCTCAATCATTCAGAATGCACCGAGATACCAGGAAGACGCCGACCGTGTCCCTCAAATCATACCTGTCAGCGTGCTAAAGCGAGTAAAACCCCGCTGCAGATCGTCCTACGTCGCAATGCGAGTCAGCAAGACTGATAACCTATACCCTGGGCATGCCATTATGCACGGAAACGCACATTGCATGGATTGTCAAAGAGTGTTCACTGAAGTCGACCAATAGCCATCGGCCTCAAGTATCACCTTCACTGTCAACCAACCATCCAAGAGCTACCGAATTACGGATATAAAGTATGCTCTGTCGTGGTTCTCCGTAGTGATTGCTGCTCAGAATTGCAGGCCCCCTACTTTTGGGAAGTCGTGGGAAAGGTCACAAGGAGTACCTACATCAGTGGTAAGGAATAAGGAATTTCCTTACATCCATGAAGGAGTAATGAAGTGATCAGGCATTGAAAAGGCAACGTTGAGAGTCAACTGGATTTGCTTGGACTTCTTCACCATAGTCAGCTGATTTGGATCCAATCTGCGCATTGGCAAATCATATTGTAATACCTTGGTCAGGTTCACCACAGCACAAAGTCTCGCAATACTCTGCCTTATGGATTCATATATTTTGAATCGACCTCAGAGACCTCGGGCTTCTTGAGTACCAACCACACTTTACGGAAAATGCTTGGGTATGGTGGATTTTCAGGCTTTACTTGTTCTCGCTCTCGATAATTTGGATTTGTAGCGATATCTCACCCCGTCATTTGTCAAGCAACCCTCAGCGGACGGAACAACACTATTACATAGCACAGGGAAAGTGACGCAGAAGGTCGAATGCTGTGGCACACTAATATTTTGTCGAGAGTATTGTTTATCCCTTATCGCGGGGATCCTTCATTTCTCTGGGCGTGTCTCGGAGCAGACTATGTGCTTAAGTGGCAACCGCATGGGAGGAGCCATATTACCATGCCTGCTACCACCACCGCATGCGTATCCCTGTAAGTCGGGAAAATACTTTGTAAAGTCAACAAATTAACAGTCGGCAGCCACATCAGCCCTACAGACGTCACCTACACTCAGATCCTCTTCCCGTTCTGATTTGCTGCGCACAACAGTCGACAAGACAACATGCGACGGGCGAAAAGCGAACCACAGCACAATAACCTCATAATGACATGCATACCGCATTCTGGCATGATGGGATTCTATCCTGCCTCATCTACTGATTTCGTAGGGAAAAATCAGAAGAGCGGGGTCACCATGGGACAGAATCAATACCCCTCAGGGTCCACAGCTAAAGTGGCCGCCAAGCGCCTCGATGGCAGCACACAAGTGGAGACAACCCTCAGCTTCAATATGGCGGTGACTGCATGCTCCTGTACAATTGTGGCTGGTGAAATACTGTTGCCTAAGACTTTGCGCAGCTCAGGCCAAAACGGGATACGCTCGCACAGGGCCAGGGACGCTGTTCGCTGCTCAACGTCGCAGCTGCCACAGTGGTATCCACTAGAGTCCAAAATTGCGCGACATGCGAACAAATAGGCCAAAGCCAGGTGGTTAGCATCATTTGTCGTGCAATAAGTTATATGGGCGAGGGCCCACATTTCCGGACGGTGATGGTATAAAGGTGAAGCTGTTTCCTGAGAGAAGTACGGAGTATACCCATTATTTCAGATCAATCAGTGCCATTCCCCTCCAAGAGACCTTTTTGACTATTTTTACATTCAAAATGAGCTTCCACCTCAGCGCTGAAGACATCCGTATCGAGGATGGCCATAAGCTCGTTGCTCGACTCCGCAGAGACAATGGTGAACTGCAAGACGCCGAGATTGACCTGAACCAATACCTCGGAAACGACAACGGTACTTCCACCTCTTGTGAATGATCCCGATGCAGAACGGCAGATGACTTATAGATACAGGCCACTTTCAATGGGAAGGTGTCAACTTCTCTGAATCCGCCGAGAATGTTCACTTCGCTATCGAGGGAGGCGGCGAGGTTCCTGTCCTCCGGGCTCGGTTGGCAAATGTGGACGGCGAGTACCTAGATGCTGACGTCAATCTGTCTGAGCGTATTGAAAATATTGATGGCCGCTTCGAATTCCAGTGATTGAGGGTGAGTTCATGCATGGGCTATTACGCAGCAGACCGGTTCCGCAGATCTAACATGGCCTTGAATAGTCACGGTGGAGTCTGCGCGCATTGTTAATAAGATGGATGAGACTAGTGCACTGTATATGAGTTATGAATGGTTCATATGGTGGCGCTATAGGGTACTTCACCATCTCGGAGATACCTTAGTTTTCAAATGGCGAGCGTAGTTTTATGCATATTCCAGTAAGAGCACATGGTATTGGGAACAGTCATTTTTAGAGAGAAGAAATTCAGAAACATGAAGCACCCACCAGGGTATGCAACGTAATGCGCCCACACCGTTGACCATGATAATGACCATCTTAAATCCTGTAACCCAACACCCTACCAAGAACGCCAGTTTAGGGCGCCCCAACTCGTAGAATAACATGGAGCAACCGTCAAACCAATCAAGAGCCTGTATTAGAACTTGCGCGAAGAAGAGACCATCCAGCACCAGAACAAAGGGGAAAATTGCGTAGAGACGAAAGGCATAGAACCTGAAGACGTTGATATTACCATGCATGCCCTGCCGCACTAGCGTCGAAGTCGTTACCATTCCAGTCCTCGTCACCACTGAGCTCGTCATCAAGAAAATCTTGTTCATTGAATTGCAGTTCAGTCGGGCGCAAATTGTCAATTCTGACCATGACGATATCGCACATGCCTTGGATAAAAAGGTCTCCATCGCCACCATACGACACTCGGTCTGGCGCGCTCAATTCCATATTATCTTCAGCTTCTGAATGCTTGCGTTTCGCAAGGCGTGCACTTTTGCGCTTGGACGGCGTCGATAGGCCGCTATGGTGTGCCTCAGACTGAGTGGCAGCATCATTTTGGTCAAGCTGAGGAGTTCCCTTACGGAGGCTGTGAAGATCAGGGTTCGGAGGAGGACTCCTTCGCAAGAACACCCTCTCCATCCTTCCAATCCATTTCTCTCTGAAAGATGCGCGGTCACGCCATCCGATCTTCAGGATAGCGCTGATAATCAAACGGCGCAAGTTTCGAAGTTCCCTCGCAGAATCGATAAGAGACGTAAAGAATACCTCAGCTGTCGTGTCGTCCCATTTTCGCAACTGTATCAGCTCAATCTCTTGCAATGTGGCGGGCCAAGTTGGCACCTCAGAGGGGCTAAGCAACTCGCGGAAATGTGGCTCCACATCGTGATAACTGGACCAGTCATGCATAGATATGTCCATCTTGAACTTTTCAAGAACCTGGCAAACCTCCGCTAGTCCTACAACAAATGACATGCTTAAATGCCTGTTGTGACTAAGGTTGAGGTCCCGAAGATGTTGTCCATGAGCAGCGAGAAAAGCACTGAGATTTGAGGTTGTTACTTCATCGCAGTTGTTGATGGTGAGAGACGTAAGTGTCGAGGGCATATTGAGGAGAAGATGCTCGTTGACAATCGAGCACTCGGAAAATTCCAGCCGATGCAAGTATGGAAGCTCCTTGATCGCAGTAGCGAGAATCACTTCCCGCTCGTTGGATGGCTCTGCACTTCCATCGTGATCAATATCTTCTGAAGCGACATGCAACAATCGTAACTCCCGCAAGCCCCGGAACGCCCGGTCATGATGTTTGCCGAGTAGGAAGGGAACCAATTGCTTCGTTTCCATAAATCGGCTGTTCCAATCCCAGCTGCGCAGCTGAATCAAGCTCGAATTCATCGATTTGAATAGACTCTCGGGATAGACCCATTTAGACCGCTGTATCTGCCACGGAGCGAGACCAACAATGAAGTCATCTTTGTGATACAGCCGCACTTTCTTTACTTGAGGAGTCTTTTCGACAAGCCTTTGGAGTTCAAAATAACCGAGCGTTGGCCCGCTTTTGTGGAGCAACAGGGTCTCCACATCGACGTGCAACTCTTGGATCTTATTTCTATAGTTGGTCGAAAGTGTCTCCTGTGGCTGACATAGCAGGTTGAGCAGAGCATGGCATTTGATAGGTATCAGAGGCGGAGAATAGTAGAGGGCTGCCAATGCTGGCTCATGAAAAGCGCGGCACAACAAGGCAACGCTCGCAAGCCATTGCGTCGAACTGTTTCTAGTTGCCGTCTTCTCATCCATCAGAGGAAACGATGCACGGAAGAAAATGTCAAACAATATGTGGTAAGGAAGAGTGTGCCAGGGTGGTATGACTCCAGAGCCGACCGGGAGCATGTCATCTGCTCGAACTTTTGGACGCTTGTTGAGTGGTCTACCCAACTCCAGGCGGTTCTTGCCAGGGGGCCTTTTGGACCTTCTAGTCCGGGACCTAGTTTCCACCGTGCGATTGAGTCTAGGCCGAGAAGATGTGCCATTGCTAGCAGATTGGGGAATCGGATAGGTGTATCGAGTTGGAGCTTCAACGGGCACGACAGCTGAAGGGTCCTCGTTAGAAGACTGCTCAAAGTCATCATCTGTAGATTCCTCGCGATAAGAAACGGGAACTCTATTTGAACTGCGTGGACGCAGCGAAAGCGACACTCGTCTAGATCGTTCTTCATCAGAGTCGGTGTCTTCATCCAGCCGATCATCTGAACTACTGTCCTCAAGATATGATTGCACTTGGGTACGACTAGTGCGAATAGGACGGGACAAGCTAGATGTCCTCTGACGGGATGAGCGCATTGAGGAAGACATGATTGCGTGGAGTGGTATTCGCCCTAACTTCCGATAGGTCGGGTCGGCAGCAGATTAACACATGGCGCACCTGTCCGTCAGTTCCTCAAAAACGGAAGTTCAGACACGACTGGGGACGTAGGGGCTAGCATCATGCGTTAGTAATCCAAACGCCAGCAGTAGAGACAATTAAATGAGCGATAATTGAAGGAGATAGACTAGAAAGCGAAGCCTCAAGAGGAAAAGAGGAGACGATGAGGTCAGTCGGTGTTGCCGTTCGATTATCGCCCTTGCAGAGGTTTATCGATAAGAGAAAATCAGCAGATTCTTCATGCCTGAGGCAGTAATTGGTCAAATGTGGCCTAGTGGCGCAGTGACAGTCCCAGGCGCCCACTCCCCCGCCCCCAAGGCCACCATGCTAGTCCCAGACGGGTAACAAGCAGAATCCCGAAAATAGAAACAGTCAGCGGCCTCTCTTTAAGGCGCGAATCGTCCAGCCACTCCATCTCTCCTCTTTCCCCCCGTTCCAGGTCGGGACGATGGCGTTTACATGTCCAGATTTGAAATCTTCATCCCGCCGATATCAATGCTGAGTATATATCCGTAAATTGTTCACTCCTTCTTGACATATAAGCCGGCAAATTTATGCGCTCGATCTGGGCTGGTCCCTGAGCTACCTCTGTTCATTGCAATTCAGTCACACTTGGACCTCATAGCATCTAGCGCTCTGATTCGCATTTGAGATTTGGCATCTTGGGTGGATCTACTATCAAGGCAAATGACTCCGAGTTGTCTATTCATACTCAGATCCACTTCGAACATTCGAAATCAACAAAGCCTTGTTTTCGTTCGTCTCGGCTAGTTGATTACTAGCAATGGAAAGCTCGTTCACCAGTGTGATACCACAATCGGAGCCGAATGACATTGGAGGTACACCGGTGGTTATCCAGCAGTATGCGAGATACTCGTCTACGTTGGAGCCGGGGTTACAGAGTGGCTCTTCAATAGGGAGCGCCCGCAGTCGATTAGGAGCGTCAAAGTCTCCTCCCCTACATCGCAAAGCGACTCCTCGCAGTCTGCAATCTTCCCCTACTGGTTTACGGCCAGTCGTTCCTGCGACGTCGGCTACGCGCTCAGGGCCCTCGATGTCTCCTCCAGTTTATGATACCATTCGTCAGCGACAGGCTAGGGAGCCGATGGATCAGGCAGTCTCGCGGGGCCTGCCCTCTCGTGACATTCGAGATGAAACTATCGACGATGCCTACGTGACGTTCATTCTTTATTGTAACCCAAACGTTCCAATGTCCGCAGACACCACCGAGCTTCGAAAGACTTTCCGATCTCCGCCTCGGAGCGATGGCAAGAGCTTCAGCATCTTCACCCTCTGGGAGCTTATTCGAAAGCTGGACAATAAGGAGCTGAAAACGTGGATTCAGTTGGCAATCGAGCTAGGCGTTGAACCCCCTTCGGCGGAGAAGAAGCAAAGTACGCAAAAAGTTCAGCAATATGCGGTGCGACTCAAGGTTCGTTAAGTTGCGCTTGGCCAAAGATGTCGCGAAGGTGCTAATATCTGATAGCGTTGGATGCGCGCAATGCATGTAGATGCATTTTTCGAATACTGCCTTGGCCATCCTCATCCGTACTACACCCAGCTCCCGGCCTCCAACGCAGCGGTCAGTGACACTCGCGACGGCGTACCGCTAGAAGAAGACCTTGCTTTGCGTGCGCTTGTCCCTGAGTGGAAACCGAAACGTGGGCGCAAACGGGCCGACGAAAGGGATCAAGCTAACGAGAAGCCGGCGAAACGACCTCAGCTGGATACTTCCGTCGGGGTATTTCAGGCAGGTTCATTTGCAGACCAGTCTGCAACGTTTCCGCAGAGCGCCATCCCATTCAGTGCTTTCCCTGACAACGATCCATGGATGACTGCTGCATCATCATTCCCGGCTGATGGCTCTACTGACAACCAGCAAGGCCAAGAGCTTCGGTGGAGACCTCTAGAGCGAGACGCATCGCCTGCTGGATATCCACAGTCAGCGATAATTCCCCGAGGGCATCATCCATCAGAAGTTCTTCTGCCAACGGCAGAGCCACGCTCGGCGATCGATCCGTCCTCTGGTGAAAAGTCGCGATCTCGGAGGCGGCATGGTCCGGCGGTTTCTTCCGCCTGGCCTAACAGCAATGCATCGATCACTGGGAAGACTCGGGGCAGGCCTCCGCAGAGAGGTGTTGTTTCTGGTCCATTCTCCACGTTTCCTGTGAATCCTAGTCGGACTGATTCCAGGCAAAGTCAGGGTCCGGGGTCAAGATCTTCGCCTGCTATTGTGGTAGAGCAGAATGCCACAACTCGCGCAGACTCCCAGTATCAACAGTCGCCCACTCCCTTTCCTCATGCGACTGCCAGACCAAACAAGCTTCAATTACAAGTTCCACAACACTTAGGCGGACCTGTCCGCCTTGCCACACCACCGACGCTAATGGTAAATGGAATGAGTACTCCGTCTGCCTCCCTTAAGGTGGAACCTAGTCATCGGAACGGCTCTACCGCTCATTCAAGTGACCTATTCGGCGATAGTACTGTACAGGTCGTCATGCCGCATACAAATACCAATTCTCTGTCTGATAACAACGTGACCTTGGACATTAGCCTTGACGATGTTGCCCGTGTCCTATCAGGCGAGTTACTCCGCGCAAAGCTCACAGGCAGAGTAGTACCTCTGAGCGCTGAAGAGGCTCGTTCCTTGGCATTCTCCATACTGAAGCGTTTGAGTGCTAATTACATACGACTTCCCTCGAGGCTATCGGCTCTCGCGTCAGCTCTTTACCTCGGGCTTGGAGCGCACTTTGGCTTTACGAGCCCCGCCCCGAGCTCCATGACGGTGAATGTTGAAAGAGCACCTATAGCTGCTGGGGAGGGTTCAACGATGTCGGCCGATAGAATATCGGCCAATTTCATCTATTCGATTTCCCATGAATACAAGCACGGTTCTCAGTTCTCCGCAAAAGTCGTGTACAGCGATACGGGCATCTCGAATATAGATGTCGGTAAACCTGAGGGATCGTCACGAATGACTGATGATATGGACAACAGCGTTATTGAACTTGATAGTATGACGGATGCGGAATACGAAATCGACGGTGCAGAAAGCACCGTGTCTGAAATGACATGGAAACAGCGTTACATGAAATTGCGAGCACAGATGCAGAAAAGAGAGCGGTCCCTGTCCCAATACAAACGCAAGATTCTCGAGTCGGTGATGGCAGACATATAATCCCCCAACTCGTTTGCCCGATTCTGAGTCGGCTTGCGCCAGCACGATGTTAATTCGTCTGCATATATCATCTGAATACTTAATGATACCCTTGGCTTTACCTTTTTATGCCACTTGGTGTTTGTTTCCAAGTCGATACCTTCACATGTTATGGTGTCATCTACAGTAATCGCGGTTTTGTGACGCTGGGTTCTGAAGTTCGAGTTGTGCAATAGATACCCCCTGTGCAAATGATATGCTTAAGATATGACATGAAATTCTCCACCTCGGCATAGAACATATGAAAGAATAGATAGGGCTTCGTATTTCCTCGTGATCTATGAGAACCACTTGCGCTATAAAATATGACTGAACGCGAAAACACCAACTTGCAAATCACAACTGCATCAAGAATATTAGGTCAATAGAAGTAACCAATTGTCCAGTTCCCGAAATTCGTAAAACGGTATCATGCTGCAACTGCAGCCCGTGGCCGAAACAGAGAATCAATAAACCCAATTAGGCATTTGCCGAAGCTACCTCCTCAGTCTCCTTGACCACGCCACGACCGTCGTCCTCGGAGTTGCAAGACTGGTCAAACAGCCCCTCGCTGTCGACAGCAGTCGCATCAGCGCCAGCGCCCAGACCCTTCTCTTCAGCATCGGACACCTCTTCCTCCTTCACAGGGCTCAACCTCTGCTCAACTATTCTCTCTGCACTCTCAACGACAGTCTCCTTCGACACCCGAGCTTTCTTGGTTCTGGTCTTAGTCTTGCTACTCTCCCCTGCAGGCTTTCGCTTTGCAGGTGAACTCGAACTCTCATTCTCGCCCGCCTGCTTGGCCTTGGCCTTCTTAGGAGAACCAGCCTTGGCAGGTTTGGGTTTCTTGGAAGTAGAGTCTGGAGAAGCTGCTGCTGCGTCGCTTTCAGATCCGGCGGTGGTTGTGGTCGTGGTCGTGTTCGCTGCTTCATTGTAGGCCTTGATCAAGCGTTCGTAGCGTTTTGCGCTGGGTGGATTGTTAGTTCTCAGGGGTGAAAATTTTTGGGAGGTGCTTGTGACGTACGCGGCTCCTTTACTGACGATGTTGCATTCTTTGGCGACTTCGTTGAAGTCCACCTGGGATCTAATTAGTTGAAGTGATTCAAAGGAGGTTGGGGGGAGGAGAGGAGATGGGGCTCACCTTGCCGCTGTTTGAGTAGCGGATGCAGCTTAAGAGGAACTGAACGGTCTCGTCTGGGTTTGTGGGAGCCATGTTGATTGTTTGGCGCGGCGAATTTGGTAGGTGTAGGTATGATGTGAAGTTCGGGCGGTGTATGAGAGAGATGAGGATGTCGTCGATTGGAGGAGTCTGTAAAGACTATAATAGAGCGAGGAGATAGAGCGAATGACCTCGAGGATTCGAAGACAGAGGTGAGTGAAAGATATTATGAGAGGCAGATCCACACTGGTGCAGAAAGGATAACGAGATACTCAGGAGAGGGGATGCAAGAGATGAGTGGATAGGTGAAGTAGGTCAGGTCACTTATTCTGGGCTTGTGAAACAGTCAAACGACAAGGTGGCCTACTTCTCAAGCGTTCCTAGGCAATGGGAAATAAGTATTGATGTAGGGGATGAATAATTAAAGAGTCTATTGTTTTCTGGTTAGACTTGGGTCTGTATGGCGCCTCCATCGAGTGTGTGTTGATTAGCGACAGGTCTGAGACAAGCTCTTTACGGCTTCATCATATATATCTAACAGTCATGAATGAGCTATCATTTGATTTCTAACATGGTGGTACCTATTCTAGACCTGAGGACGAGCTCCAAACATATTCAATGCTTAGAGCTTCTCGGTAAAGAGATAGTGTCACAAAATAAAACATCAAGGCTCAAAATCAAATCAATATTTTTTTTCGGCTTATTGCTCGTATCCTCCCGAATCACACTTTTTACCAGTCCAAGAGCCATAGCTGTTTCCATCATATGGTCGTTCGTCGCAGTAATCCGAAAAGTGGAAGAGTGTACCTATCTCGTACCTACACTATCAGTCATCGTGTTGCTGTATGGGAAGCGGCGTGACAACTTACACTAGCAAGGCTCTCTGCAGGTCCTTTAAGCGTCTATCTTCTCCATCTTCACATCACTGTCCTTTTTAACCTGAATTTCGACGGACTCCATGATGGCGGCTTGCTTGCCCTTGATTCTTGGACCGCGCTTTCCGGCAGGCTTCTTAGAAGGAGAGGCAGAGCCATCGGTGCTCATCGGACCAGTGGCGGGAATCGGCTTCGAGTTGGCCTTGGCTCCCTTGCGGCGGGCGGCAGGCTTGCGAGCAGGCTTGGAGGGAGAGGCCTGGACAGTCTCGCCGGAAGATGAAGCATCTTCATCGCCAGCAGTATCATCTTTGACAGCCTCGCCAATATCACCAGCTTTGCCGGCCTTGGTAGGTGTAGCAGGGAACTTGCATTCCAGGTTTGGAAATCCATAGCGCTTGCCCAGGGTGCGAAGACGGTTGCGGGCCGATTGCACATTGCTGTACTTCAAGGCAGCGGCAACTTTACCGATGTCGACCTGGCCGCGTTGTTAGAGGTATTATTTCTGTAGAAGATAAAATTACGAAAACTCCTCCTGACTGACCTGCTTAGATTCGTTGAGATGCTTGAGGCATTCAATGATAAAAACGGCATCGGCACTACTGACTGCCTCGTTGTTGGTCTCGGAGTTGGTGGACATTTTCAGTAAAATGAAAGTATTAATGTTTTAAAACACGTCTTTGGGGAAGGTAACAGAATCTTCAGGTAGTGAGAGTACAGAATCTTCAGGTAGTGAGAGTGCCTGAAGGAAAAGTTGAACAAGTTGATGTATAGACAAGGCAAGGTGTGATACGGGTTATGTGCGTGGTTTTGAGGAGGAGAACCGAACAAGATCACAGATGAAGACGAGGGTGATAGGGAGTGATAGCTAGAAAGAAGAAGAGTAAGAAGAGGAAACACGGACACGGCACATTATTTATAACAGCACGCCGAGAGGTAGGGACTGATGATCGTTACGGCAACGCAGAACTGAGTCGAACTGTGGTTGAGCTGAGATATCGATGCTGAGTGATGGACCAGACCATAGGTAGAAGTGAGCTCAGAGACTCAATAAATTGACTCTCACATCTAGTCAAACCGTATGCCACTAGGCTGTCTCTATCCTTCATTCCGATCTATGTCTATTGCAAGGGACTTTAAGAACGGTTTTGATATGGTTCAGTAAGCCAGCCAGAATCTGAAAGAGACTTACAGATGGGATAGTCTATTCATGGATCTGAAACACCTGGGGTATAGTATAGCTAATTAGCTAGTCAACCTTCATTGGAAAATTGGCCAAAAGAATACAATTGCAACATCAGTTCTCTCAAATCATAGGTCCATTTCACACATCAGAAGTAAAGAAACATAAGCCAAGCATCATAACGCCTCACCGTAAGTCATGCAACAGATGTTTCTATCTTCATCACGAATCCGCTTATCTACTCTCTTCCAGCCTTGTCAAATCCTCTCCTACTGTTTCTCCTGGGGTGGTTCAACTTTCACAGATGCTTCATGCATTTTGCCTCCGGCTTCCGGCTTGGGTTCAGGCTCAGGCTCGGTCTTGATAGGAGCCCATGTGCTTGGACCGGCCTGCTGATGCAAGGCCACAGGCGGCGAGGGAGGGAAAGCAGGGACGGGCGCATACATGGTCAGAGTTCCCGGGGCCGCGGTCAGTGAAGTGTACGGAACCATATGCGGTTGGACAGGCTGCGGATGCATCACTTGAGTGCAGACATGAGGTATCTCCGCTAGATTCTGGACTTCGTGACCGTATGGGTCAACCTTGATGTAAGGATTTGACTCATACGCAGGACCCGCATTTTCTTGCTTTACTAGCGGCTGAGGGGAGCCCCTGTCCTTCAGCAGATCGGCTTTGCTGGTAGTTCCCTTGCCCGTCTTTGCAGGGGTCTTCTTGGGGCGAGAGGAGCGCGGTGTAGATGTGATTCCTTCCATTTGCTGTCGAAATCGAGAGTAACGCATCCGAGCAGCATGGCCGTTGGAAATTTCAAGCTGCGACGCTACGAGGTTCCAGTCAATCTGTGGAGGCGCATTATTAGCTGCAGTCCACAGCACTCCTTGGGAGTGCAAGAGGAAGAAGGGTCGATGACTCACAGATTTCAAGTCCAATTGCTTGATAATTGTGTAGAGAAACTTGGCAGTAGGGCCATCAGTTGGCATCGCCTTGCTGCGTCTAACTGTCGTCATGGCTGACTTGGGAGCGAATGGTTTATTGATGAGAGAGGTATCAAGCAGAAGCCTGCAGTAGAAGGTCCAGTTGTGCTTGGGAGCTTGGGATATTGAGATTGATGGAGGAATATGCACTCTCTTGCACAGGTGCTGGATATATAAGCCTCTGGTATTGGATTATAGTCCAACAGGAGAAAATGCTGTTGTTGTCCGCCACAACGGCTACTTGCAGCAACAAAGAAAGAGTCTAGACATGAGTGGACGAAGTAATAAACAAAGGAGGTGAAGTTGAGTTTTGAGAATTCTGGTCGAATTGGATACCCAGAGATAAGTTGGCGACTGTAGCTATGTCTTGATGTCGTCCAAACGAGAAGCTTCCCGCAATGAATCTGGTTTCTCTCATTTTTCTCTGCACAGACATCGGAGAGAATACTTCTTCCATTCTGAACTTAATCAACATTCCGGTCATGTCTCATTCTATTGACAAGGAGTCATTCCAATCCTTCTGCATTGCAGTCAAAAAGAGTTACTATATGGCCAAACAGGATAGCGTTAGCGTTCTTTGTGATAGCGGCATAATATTTCCAAGCCAAAGGTGGATGCGCGGTTCATCTGAAGGAATTACTTTCGGCAGTCATATTACAGTTCTAATGGCGTCAGATATAATGAAGGATGATGGTATACGTGTTGCAAGGAAGACAGGGTAGACCTGTCGTGCCGGCTCGACACCCACAATGCTTGTCAATGTGACAGGTCAGATTCTGTAGGTTAGGTGGGAATCTCTTCAAAAAATTTACTACAGGAAAATTTTCCATTGCGCATGCTAACAGAGTTACCTCAGGCAAATAGCCTCACTGAGTATGGTTTAGTTTCCATTCGGTTGCACCCAACCTACCTGGCTGTCAGGACAGTCGAGATCTATTCTAGTCCTCCTGGAGCTGTAGTCCATGATAATGACCATACATGGTTCCTGCAGCTCCAGCTGCGCTATTTTGTATCAGTCTCGAGCTAATCCTGCATCCTGAGTTGCTTTTTATTATAACATCTTCCACCGTGGTATCAGCACGCGTGCGCGTCTCAACGCGCTTGATGGCCATTATACTCTTTTCGAACCGGGTATAAGTACTTCAGCCTATGATTCCTTCCATCGAGCTTTTGGAAAACCAAGTTCCTGCATTAAATTATCATTACTCAGCTTTCCAATCGACTTCCTGTCTCTAAAGCCCGCTCAATTTGAGGCTTTGTTGGAGGCTTGATCGGCAAACATCCAAGAATGCCTTCGTCTCGAATAAAATGGGACGACTGGAAGGACAAGGTGATGCTAATGGCAGTGTTCGAGCAAATGAACATGACCTCTCCCGACTTCAATCGGCTCTCCAAAGTGATGTGTGGAGATTACAGTGCGGATGCTTTGAAGTATGACCATCATTCAATGGAAGTTCATGAGCGACGAGTGCTAATAAGTGCTGCCGAGTCTACAGAAACCGCTTCAGGACACTCAACAAAGAAGCTGCAGCTATATTGCGTGATCGCCAGCGTCATGCCGAATCTCAAGAAATGACAGCCGAGACACTTCCCATGATGTCCGGAGCTGTGAACGGTTCAGACGATAACGATGTACTCGTGGTCCGAGGGGCTGCACTACGAGGCGAGCTTACGCCCCCTATGAGCGAGCCGTCCCCGAGCATGCAATCAAGACGCTGTCCTCCACAGGCACAGATAGCCATGCAGGAAGTTATCACGCCAAATTCTCAGCCTTCCAGCATTGGTCGCCACTCTCTGAGCAACGGCATACAATACCAGCAGCACTCGAGTTTGAACTACGATTCAAATGTACATCCAGCACGCCGTCCCCAGTGCTCCCACGATACAACCTCCCCTGCTCGCCCGTACAATCATCCTCAAATAACGTCAGGCGGACGCAATTTCCTTCGCAGACAGCAAGATCGGAGCTGGGATCAGAGTTACCGGACCAAGAATACTGGTGGAAGGCCTTTCAAGCCACGAAATCAAAACAACCGTCAGCGCAATATGCCCCAGATGACCCGAGTCGAAATAAATCATGGGCCTGTACATACCAGATTTTAAAAGTGAAGCATTTGCGTCTTAATGCATGTATGGAATGTTAGCGATGTATTTATTGCGAATGATGGTACTCTGTATAATTAGGGACACTTCGAAGTCATTAACTTTGTTACTTACATTGATTCAACATAGCTTGATGGACAGCACGGTCAGCTTTTATTTATGTTCATTTGATGGGAATCAGGCCCTTCTCCTGTCTACATCAGCTTCTTCTAAACCTCCTTTTGAGAGCGCAAACGGTCAACTTGCCAGGCGTTCGTAGAGCGTGCTGTTGCAGCAGTTACGTATACAGTGGCAACATCGATGAATCGTCTACATTACGAGTAGAAGGCATTTTTTATGGATGGCCCTCAGGAATCACTGCAGTGAATACATCTTCATGATGTTAGGGCTAGACGGAGGAAATATACTCCGGCATAATGCATATTAGCACAGTTAAACTGATGATTGCTCAACTTCATTTCTTCACACAACTTGTCCTGTTGTTTGTTCAGGTGCAATGTTGAACATGCAGCGCACTACTGTTTCTACTAGCTAGGAATGGTTATCTGGACACCTTTTTAGCTGAATGGTTCCAGTGTAGTCGACATGCGATGCCCTAGAGAGGGAAGTCTGGTCGAAAAGATAGAATCTGAGAACTGTAAGTGGGATATTACGTGTTTGCCTCTAATGAATTTTTCCAGATGACAACAGCTAACACAACCTGCTAGTTTTATGAGATCCTAGTCTCATCTGGGGAGAGACATAGATCAGTAGAGCAGGGAGAGGGGCTCCGTAGGAGATGCTCTATGATATGGCTCCTACTACTCCGTATCTCCCCATATCATCATCCTGCCTGGGCAGGGCGGGAATAAGGAAGGAAATGCGGTGGTTAAGGGAATCTAACTGCAGAGTAGGTCTCAGTGAATCCCAGCAGGGCCATGGGCCAGTGATCAACTTAGGTCAAAAGATATTCTTAGCACCAGCAATGCGGCTGCGCATAGGAATAGGCCTGGTGAAGTGCCATACTATGCAGCCCACGATGGAAAATTTTCACACATTTCTCTCGGCGCTGGTTATTTAAAGCCAGCCGGGCGTCTTCTGCTTTTCTCTCTTTTAAATGCTCAACTATCATATCATGGCACATCTTTGACCGTTCACAACAAATCATTTGATCAATCGAATATCACTGCCAACACAAACAATGGTGTCTGCTAAGAGAAAAGGCCTAGAAGGCGAGGATGACAGCGCCAGTCATCCGCAGAAGAAGGCTCCTGGCAAAAAGCGCAGTGCAAAGAAGCAAAAGACTCTGTCATCTGCCCCCGTCCAAACTACCTCAGCTGCTGCAGATGGCTCTGTGTTGCCCCAAACCCAGCCACCAGTCGCGTCCTGTGACCAACAGTTGCGGATCCCAGAAACCCCCACCCAGCAGCCTTCCAAATTTTGGACCAACGAACTTAGGATCTCCTTGCTTGTCGCCGTCCTGAAGGAACTCGGCCATACAATTCCGGAGAAGACCTGGCACCAGGTGGCCGAAAACCTCAAACCGATGAAGCCTAACATCTCATGGAATGGCGCTCGGTAAGTCTTGGTTTCTACATGCTTGAACACATAACCTTGACTCATTTTCCCTTCGCCGAGTTTAACTCCGCTCTTGTAGAAACATTCTACGCTCTGCGACTATCCGTTATGACCTGAGATTGCTGACAGATTGAAAGCTTGGAGTTCGGCCGTCTCAAGAGAGAACATTTCCCCAATGCTACGCCAGCACCGAGCGGCCGACACGATCAGCCGGCTCAAAACTCGAAGGACGAGGATTAAGAGCTTGAGGCAGGAGTTCCCTACAGTTGGTAAGTACGTCTCGATCTGACGGCGCATTTTAGCCTCCCCTGACATATGCTGGCCAGGCAACTCTCTCTATCACGATGAGGATACCTCACGAGCAGCTTGCTCACCGCCGTTTGCCTCGTTCCACAATGTTTTACCGGCAGTAAAAGGATCATTCAGGCGATGATGGGTTGGGAATAGTTATGGAGGAGACAAATATCTTGCGCAACTCCTAGTTCTTGGCTTTGTATCTTGAAGTCCTTAGCTGTTAATTGAAGTCCGTTGTTTGCTCGTGTTTTTATGTACCATACTGGCCATTATATTGCATCATAATTGTATTTGCAATGTTATATTCGCAGCTAATAAGCACTTGGAGAGCCGCGGGTACCATATTTCAGTGCAGCTGCTGCCATGATTTCGTTGTCGCTGATGATGTCGCCTGTGGGGCATGACTAATATGCGACTCAACAACCTCTCCTCAAACTCCCAATTCTTCGCACACGTCGGTCACTGCAGTTTCCTTTCTGCCGCTTGACAGTCTTGAAATATAGCGCTGTTAACAATTAAAGCTTTGGAAAATGTCGTTGGTTGCAGTAGGTGCATGCTATGTTGACACAATCTTGACGTTGGTTGAAACTCGACCCCACCATCTTCTTGATAAACCAACACCAGCTTACCACTAAAATGCAGAACTGCTCACTACCCGGGAGAAGATGAGAAGTTGCGTGCTTCTAGTATATCTCATCGCCGCGGAGGCAACTGTCCGAACACTTTGGAGGTGCTGCAGCAATTGGTAGCACACAGCAAGACAACCTCAAAGGTCTCACTGAATCTTGTCGCAGTTCTGCCTGCGAAGGCATCTGTTGCTTCGCAGCAGATCCTGGCAGGCTTTGGGCCCGGAGTTCAACTCGAGCATTGCATATATCGTGAACAATTCAATGAACCAGCATCGAGTTATATCATTAAAAGTCAAGCGTCCGGGAGTAGGACGATTGTCAACTACAATGAGCTCCCAGAATTGACCGTTGAGGAATTTACAGCAATTACAGATAAGATTGGTTCCAATGCCACTTGGTTTCACTTCGAGGTTCGCGACTTTCATATTCTGTGAAGCTTTTTAGGATCCTCATGTTCGATTTGTAGGGTCGGATACCAGAGGTAACATTGGCATGCGTGCGTTATCTACGTCAATGCTATCCTTCAACCAAGATCAGTGTAGAAGCCGAGAAACCTGGGCGGCCGGGCCTTCAGGAGCTTGCAAATGAGGCAGACGTGGTTTTCTACTCGAAGAGCTGGGCTCAGGTATGAGTGCTTCCTACAATCATCTATAGCCCTCACAGGCAGAATCAGCTAAACTTTGTCCAGGGGCAAGGCTACACGTCGGCCGCGGAATGCCTTCGGAAGCAGTGGCCCATGACACGCAATGCGTAAGAGAGTCCTTAGGCCTTATCCATGGGTGCATTGGTTGACTGACATACTTCCATCAGGTCTTTCCTGTGTTGTACCTGGGGAGAAGACGGGGCCGTTGCCCTAGACACTCAAGATGGTCAACTGTTGCACAGTCCTGCGTACACAGCACCCGGCTTTGAGGTCGTAGAGTAAGTCGATCCCTTGAAGGTATTCGACAGAAATACTGATGAGTGCAAGTACTATCGGGGCTGGCGATACGTTCATAGCCGGAATGTTGTATGCTTGGCTCTGCCAGGAAGATTGGGACCTCGCGAAGAAGATACACTTCGCAAACCGGGTTGCGGGCATGAAAGTCGGACAGGAAGGCTTTTCTGGTCTGGACAAGGCACTGGTGTCATTTTGAGAACAAAACATTCAGAGAACGCGCAGTATCTGTTTTACGAGCGTGTGTGTCTCATCAACAATGCCGTGCTTCAGGCTGGAATCCAAGCCGTAGAACAAGATTGGCCGCTATATCTTTGCGCAAATCCTTCCTTCGCCCAAGTATAGCCTAGCCATGAAATAGAAGAACGTTCTCACCGCAAGCATACTCCCTGTGAAAACTTGCAGCTTCAGGTAGCTCTCCTGGGCAGCAGACAACAGAGCACCGCCAATGGGACTGCTGGTTAACGCAGCAACGGACATCAATGCGTACATTGAGCCGCTACGAACGCCAATCTCTCGGATATCCGAAATCTGCGCCACCAGTGCGGGACCGATGGCAAGGTAGGTTCCTGAGCTAAAGCCAAATAGACCAGCAAATACTACTGGTGTTCCGGCTGAGTGGGCTGGAACCCATAGAGCAAAGACAATGACGGTTGACAGCGCTACTGCACACGCCGCGATGTTAAAGTTACCAACCTGTCTGCAACGTATCCTGGGAGAATACGGCCAATACCACTATCATTCGATTGTTAGCAAGAGCTAAGATATCACATCCAAGGGTGAATCAAGGAAACTTACCTGGCTGCATTAAAAATTGGGACCAGGTACCTGGCTAACCCGGTCTCTATACCCATGTGTTCTCCATAGGTCACCATGAAGGTGATAGGGATGAACATGCCCATTGAGTAGAAGAAGCATGCTAGTGCTGTAAGGAGGAATGCGTTTTCCTTAAACGGCCGTAGATATGTCCCAAAACTTGACGGTTGGGGCTGAGGTGGTAATCGCGAACGCACAGTTAGATTGACTACAATAAGCAACCCCAGCATCACAATTGCACAGATTCGCATGATCCAGGCCAATCCAATTCGGCCCATTACACGTTCGACCAATACGGGCAGAAGGACGCAGGGCGCGTCTGTTTTTAAACCACGTAGCCACGGTGCTAAAGCAAGGATAGAGGATCATGCTTGCTCCAATCGGGTTACAGATTCCTTGAGATAAGATGAACTGGTAGAACCTGGAAGAAAGGGACGCCATCATCAAGCCGAAAACATAGAGGAAGGACCCTATATAAAGAAGATGATTCGGGCAAATCGGTCGTACAGCCTGCCGACGAATGGCGCCTTGGTTTTGTTAGCGCAACCTATCGATCACCATAATCCACCTTGGCTCAATGGCATACCATGACAAACAAAGTGAACATGGAGGTGGCTGGAATCCACGAGACGGCGCTAGGCGACATGGATTGCAGCTGATGCGACTGATAATAAGCTTGAAATAAGCCAACGCCTAGGTATAATGTTTAGATAAAAGAGCGTCCCATTCTTCACTGTACCGTTATTGCCAGGGAGGAAGCTTTCGACGTACAGTTCGTCCAACCGAAGGTAGTAAACAACCCAAAGAATGCTCCTATTACAACCATGCAGGCTCTGGCACCGCCGTCTGGGAAAGAGCTCGGACCACTTGCCTTCTGCCCTACGCACAGGTTCTGCTTGAGACGATGTATAGCCAACGCTCCCAGTCAGCGAATGTCAGAGTAGACGTCATCGTATTATTCTTGTGTATATTCGCCTCGAGCTCGTTCTATGTTTGTTCCGAGGGTGGGCATGCACTGACAAGTGAATTGGCAAGAGCCGAGACCTCTCACCGGGAGTGGAAAATAGCCGCCCTTAAGCTGATTCTGGACCCCAAGGACCAGTGCGGGTTTTTCTGTGGTTGCTCTGCAGTCGATGCTGATCATGCTGTATCTTCTCTGGGACACAGAAGGACAGTTGGAGACGTTTTTCCGGACTTTTGCCGTAGCGTATAGTAAAACGATACACATGAATCTACATAGGACGGATGCGTACGCAGACTACGATGGGGATGCAGTTGAAAAGGAGCTAAAGCGCCGTTTATGGTGGCACCTCACAAGCACTGACTTGTAAGTTGTTTCACGCCCAAAAGCAAGCAATTATCCGGAGGCTAAAACTGCTGAACAGGCTTCATGCTGGCATTCCCGGCAAGCGTGAGGGCGTGTACAGCATCAACCCAAACCAAATATGCGTTAAATATCCTCCCAACCACGATGACGATAGCATCTATTATAGAGCATCCTTGGGCACAGGAGTACCCCTAGACCAACCAACAGATATGTGCTATTTCCTCTGGCGGCTTAAATTCGCTGAGCTTTGTCGTGAGGTATTGGATGCTATGCAGAAAGTTAAACCTGGCTCTTCCAGTGCCAGCTACGAGCTCACCGTTCAGTTGAGCCAGAGATACATGGCGTTCCTGGGCGAACTACCATGGTTTTTCCGGCCTGATATGGGAGCTGAGCTCAAAATATCCAGGTTAGCAGTCCAGCGACCATACATCCTGCGCCAGAGAACTGCCCTCCTATTCGGGGTATTTTCACGGCTAGGTCGCCTGCATCGCCCGTTTATTGCCCAGGGCATGAAGGACTCTAAATTTGCGACTTCTTACAAATCGGGGATATATTGTGCGGAGAACTTATTTAAACTTCGCCATAAGGGATGTGGGTGATAACTGCACTTGTTTCTGTTCTCATAGCATTGATCAATATTGCTTCAATGCCCTGCTTCTCTTGTCCACTGATTTCCTGGGAGGCAACCGACGCCGGAAAGAGGAGCTCATACAGATGTGAGTGACGCTGAAAACTGGGCGAGTTTGCCCGGATTCCAAGCGTGGCTTTTCCCGCGCCATAAACCAGCTGTTAACCATCCTTGAAAGAGCAGATGGGGAGAGGACTCTTGGGACGACTGGGCATAGAGACATTTGCAATCCTGCGGACGTAGTCCCGGTTTATTCTACGGCTGTGCGCAAATTGAGTGGCCCACCCGGCCAAACAAACCAAGTTCATCCCAGCATCCGAGTGGGCTTTTACTGATGATTTGGCTTTTCCAGAGATCATAACTCAAGACATGGGTGAGCTATTGGGTTGTCTGGAGGAGAGCTTTCCTGGCATCGACAGCATTTTTACAGATCACCTGAGTGGTGGGAGTTCTGAGAATTCAGTATTTCGCAGGGACCCTGAACTTTAGGCCTAGATTGAGGATCATATACACCTCTCATATACCACATTGGCTCTAACACACTTCAGTCGGTATTTTATCGGTAGGGAGCGTCTACGGACTAACGGGCTGATGGCCAACCGTGGATGACGTTAGATCTTGGAAGCATCGAAGCTGCCCCTCGGCACTTTATCCGCCAACGCTGTTCTCAGATCTACCGCTGAACAGAGGGATGGATATTGCAGCACCACGAGTTACTCTGAATAAGAGTACTAAAATTAGCTGGTGTAATCTAAGAACGGAAGCTGGCCTTCTCGCTGGCTGAGGCTCTGAACCAGCGGCTGTGTCGCGCTCGTCGTCCCCCTCAGTGACGATTCAAGACCTATTGCTGGCCCCACAAAAGCTCTCACGAAACCAACACTGGCGGCTCAAGGTGGGTATGGAATGCCCCGCAAGTGCACAGCAGATATTCTCTCGCCTTGCAGAGCAGCAGAATGCCTTTGTATCCCAGACATGATACAGCCACGGCGCTAATTCGACCAATCACACAGGTTGTGCCTCACGGGCTTAATGGAAACCGAGAGCTGGTATTTGAACTCGTAGCTACCCTCGCTTCGGCTGGGAGCATATAATTTGCACTTTAACTTCCTGCTTCAACTTCACTAGAGGAGAGTATAAGGTCTGGTCCACTGCGGACTCGAAAATGGCGGATCCTTTGAGCATTACCGCTTCAGTGCTGGCTGTTATCTCAGCCGCCGTTCAATCGACAAAGTCGCTCTACGAAACCGTCCAACGCTTCAAAGATCGCAACAAAACCCTACGTAGGCTCCAAGATGAGCTGGAGGATCTCGTCAATATTTTGGACTCGTTGACAGAAGTGACTAATGCGGAGACCTCAATGTTGGCACTTCTGAAAGGTCCTATTGATCGATGCAGCCAAGTATGCCGCGAGTTCGAACAATCAATGAAGGCTTTCAGTGGGAAGTCGAAGACGGGTTTTCGAGATTGGACGAAGATGGAGTTCATGAGGGGAGATATCAATGAATTCATCGACACTATTGCAGGGTATAAGTCAACTATCTCAGTCGGTCTGGGCACTATTACTATGTTAGTCGCAATTTCGCATCTACAATCGGTCTCTGCTGACGTCTTCTCATAAGGCATACCTCCAAAGTCTCCCGCGAAGTTCTGCAAGAGTATAATGAGATGATCCAGGACACAGCATATAACCTTGAGGTCCATTTACGGCAAATTGATGAGAAAATGGCACGATTAACTGTCGAGAACACTATTACCTCAGACATAAGCATAGACTTGAACGACGAGAGAGAAGTGACCAAACAATGTCTTCGCATTTGTGAAGACGCAAGGGCTTTTATCGAATCCTTGACAAATCGAGAATCGTCTCTACTACAGGAACCGGGCCAGAATGCTACGGAAGACGAAATGCGAGATTTCTTTGAAGCACAGTTGCTAACGCGTCAAACTCTGGCTAAAAATCGAGATAGCTTCGCAGAAATTAGTTCCCGCCTTCAGGAACGCTTAGAGTCCCTGGTTCTCCACGGTGATTCTGGAAACGACAAGGAGAGATTGCGATTACAGGAAGATATCAATATCTCGAAGCAGTGCCTAGAGGTGTGCAAAGTGGCTAGTGAAATCTCCCGTCAGAAGATATACAGAATCGGGGAGGTGATTGCCGATGATGACAGCGATCAAGTAGTGGTGACTACCTTAGCGGACCTGTTCGATATCAAGAAAGCGCAGTCCAAGGGCAATTCAGCCCAATTGGTTGGGTCAATGACGGACGAGTCTCTTCGGCATCTGACTGAGAAGCGTTATAGCAGTCGTTTTGGAGCTGTATCTAGTGGCTCCAACCCTGCTGGATCCGTCACCACCAGCTCGCCTTCAGCCACAGAGACTCAAAGAAGTAAACATACCTTTCCAACTCAGACTGGCAATGAGGAGCAGTCTCCCGGACCGAGAACGAGGCATGATAAGCCGTCTCCCAACGAGATGAGGAAAAGAGGGATGGGTGGCGCAACGGATTAAGGCTGATGTCAAGGCTAAATGGGATCTGAATTCTTCGAGGCCGAGGCATTGTTTTATCGTCCGAAAGACGTTACTACTCTTACTGGTGAATATTCTTCAGCAGACGTCAAATCTAGCATTGCATGCACACTGCATAGGCAACATCGACCAGTACAGCCTTGCGGCTCAAGCAGACGCGGGTAGACTTACACCCTCAATAGTACTATTATGACATGCCGTAGCAAAATTGACTGGATTGGGATATACTGTCAGATCGTCTCAATTTGCTATAACCGATTCAATAGGGAATCGAGAAAGCCACGGCTCCACTTCGAGGCAGGGATAGATTCTAAACCCATTCAACGGCAGCTGCAGCCTGTAATAGATTTGCAAGATGGACAACTGAAATCTATAGTCAGGCTGCCAGACCAGCGTGGTATGAACGTCCTCGCACTCTTTCCAAAGTGATTCCTTCAGATTTGCGTACATTCTCCAGTTTGACAAGCTCTTGCTCGTACTGAATCTGGATAGGCTTTATCCTTTAAGCATTATCTGCTGGATTTTGTCTTGATATACCACAGCTGAGCTGCTTCAGTTGTCTTTAGCTTTGTTAGAATCTGATTTAAAATATAACAGACTTCAATAGTCTTTGTATGCGCCAGATTATCAGCCCATGATCATGGTTCCTTGCCGAAAAATTCCCCCTAGCAAATCGATGATTAGAATTTCCGCGAATGAGAACAACTAAGCTTCACCCAAGATACTTGATTATGAAAGGTCCATGCGGTTGCTAAATCAAGGGCAGCTATCGGACAGACGATTGCCCAGAGAAGGGCATAGAGAATTTTCAAAAAGAGAGATCGTCCCCAATATGGAATCCGCGCTGTAGTCTTGTGCAACTTGGCGATTGATAGCAAGGATTGTTTCAACTAGCGTCAGAAACACAGAAACAGTGATAATTGAAGCATGAATTTGGAAATAGATCGAGGCCTCTCTGTATGGGTATGCCAAGAACTTTATCTCTGATTAGCACACGTGACCTCTTACTCCAAAGGCGGTGAACTCTAAAAAATTATTCTGCCCGCATCTTTTCGGTGTCCTCGTGGAGCTTTTCTCTGCGACGAACAGGAACCCAAAAAGCTCAACCGAAGTATTCTGTTCCAATCATAATGGCTGCCGTATACAAGACAGTGTCTAAGAAGAAGGCTCGGCAAATTGCTGAAGATCAGGATGAGGTAGACATCGAGATGGAAGATCTTCTCGCTGGAGCCGACGATACAAGCGACAGCGACGAAGACGAAGATGAGCACACTGCGGACGCGGCCAAGAAGCAGCTCGCCGCTGGATTCATGCCGAAGTCTCGTGTTCTCATGTTGACTTCAAGAGGTGTGACATATCGGTATGCTCAGGATTTGCTAGCTACTTCGAACTTGACCGTCTCAGACACTGACGAGCGATTCTAGCCATCGACACCTGCTCTCCGATCTCTGCTCTTTGCTCCCTCACACGCACAAAGAAAGCAAATTAGATACGAAAAAGAAGACGGCCGGTTACAATCTACTCCTGAACTCCCTCGCAGACCTCCACTCATGCAACGTCATTTTCTTCCTCGAAGCACGCAAGCGCGGTCAAGATTTGTATCTGTGGCTGGCTCGTCCTCCCAACGGACCTACGATCAAGTTTCACCTCACCAACCTGCACACTATGGGTGAATTGAACACTGGATTTAGCGGTAACTGTTTGAAGGGTGGCCGTGGCATTGTCGTTTTCGATCAGTCGTTTGATGAAAAGGGTCCTGTTATGAGCAGCCCTGGAAACGAGTACCGCGGATTGATCAGAGAAATGCTGCGTGGAGTTTTCTGCGTGCCCAAGCGTGGTGTCAGGGGCTTGAAGCCTTTTATTGACCGCGTCATCGGTGTCTTCGGCGTGGATGGCAAGATTTGGATTCGGGTCTATGAGATTAGAGAGTCCGAAGGTGGAGCCAAAAAGGACGACGAGAACAGCAAGCCCACGCCCAAGGGCAAGAATGCTCAACCTGAGATCTCACTCGTTGAGATTGGACCTCGCTTCGTCCTTACGCCAATTGTCATTCTTGAGGGCAGTTTCGGTGGCCCTGTCATCTACGAGAACAAGGAATATGTGAGCCCCAACCAAGTCCGCAGTGAGGTCCGTTTGAGCAAGGCGGCGCGCTACGCGAAGCGTCGGGATGTTCAAACCAACTTGATTTCGAAACGCTCTACGTTGGGCTTGGCAGAAGGCGAGAGAAAACCAGGTCCTCTCGACACCAAGAGCCTCTTTTCTTAGAAGCTCTTATGGTCATCCTAATTCCGATTTCGATCCACTTGTCGTTCCTGTCTCTTTTCTTCCATCAGCATTAGACTTGATATCCTGAGGGGATGTACATGTGATGCGAGGGGTACATTGTTTCGGTCATTCTAAGGCGTCTAGGTGTGAAAGATAATTTAAAAGTCTCTTATGCTCTCCATCCTTAGATTTGGTGGCTGTGTTCCCAATTTTCGGTTAATTTATGTAGCATGTATTGGGACATTACATCTACAGAGACTTGTTTGTTTCCCCACGGAGGGATGAACTCGTTTATTCATCGAGAGAGGATATCTGTATGGAAACAAAACTCATCTGAGGCAGCCATAGTTATCCCAAATATTTGACATTTCGACTGCAAGAATGAGGGGATTTTGGTCAAGCAAGGGGCGCAGATTAGATAAGCAGGGTGTATAGTTAACTATAAATCGGTATGACCTTCTTTAGAGATACTCCGACTCCAACTCTCTCCGTCCACCATCATGGCGACGCATTTGCCATCCAGTCATTTGCGGCTGGATACTCGTTTTGCATCACCTACGATGTTCCTCAGTATGCATGCTCTAAATCAGATGGCTTCCTCTTCTGTCAGCCCCAACGGCGGGGTTTGCACTTAAATTCATACCCTTGTTTGCGACGACGGCGGCGTTGACTCATTGATATCGAGACGCCGTCAAGGTTGGCACTTCTTCCGGTCTTCACGCATACCGGGCTCTAAATTGTTTACGAATATTTCTATTAGGTACTTCAGAAATTACACGCTGCTCACCCGTTTGCTGTGCTGACATGTTACTTGGTAACAGAATATATCGCCCTCATATCGATGGAACGTCTGGCAACGGAGCTTGTGCTCCATATATTTCGCTCTTGCGAGAGCGTTTCTGATGTTCTCAATCTTGCATCGACCTGCCGGAGGCTTCGCCGTGTCTTCAACCAACCCCACAAGCTGCAAATTCTTATTGATGTCGCGGAATACGAGTTTGGACCTCTAGACGAGATCGTCCAGCTTGTAACACACAACGCAAGCCAACCAGCACACATCCTCCGCCATGTTCCCATTTCCGAGTCGCTTCTCCGACAGGTAGTGCAGGTCGGACTCGTCGCGCGGAAATGGGAGGCGATCTACCCGATCAAGAAATGGAAGGTCGATTTCGAGAATCGGCGCTCCCTGACTGACGATGAACGGCTCCGTTTGCGCCGTGCTATTTATCGCCTGTGGCTATATCATCGCGCTTTCCATACTTCCAACTTTGACCGTTTCTCGCGTAAACTTCGTCACGTTGTCTCTGAGCGTGCGCAGCTTTTGCACAACTGGTCCACTGTCGAACTTGCCGAGGTTGAGGACGTTCGGCTTATCATCATCGACATTGTGCAAAATCATATCTGTCCCAGCAACGGGACTATCCAGCGGAAGTTCCGCAAACGGTATCCTGAGAGTAATCACCAGCTATCATTTAATATTCATCTGAACTACCCGAGAACGAGTACCCCAGCGGGGGTACCCGAATGGCCGGACAAGGCTGACCACGCACTTGATCAGTACTTCTATTCTGCTCACACCAGAAATATCACTGAATCACCCGCGAAGTATAGATCGAGATTCCGCAATGACTTCTTTCACGACCCTGGCATCGAAGGTTGGGGAGATGAAATTCCGCATTATTACGTAGTCCAGGATATGATGAAGCTAGACCCCGGGCAGGTCCTCTGGTTGCGCGAACATGCGCCCATGAAAGAGCAAGTCGAAGCCTTCATACGATCCTTGGGCGATTGGTTTCGTGATAATGGAGAGACATTCGAAGATACTCTTGAGTGGGTGATGAATGAGCGCGGTGATGACATTGAGGAGTTTCGGGCTGCCATAGCAGATCGGAAACTCGGAATTGTGTGGTCTTAGTTTATTTTAGACTATGTCATGCGTAGCATTCTAGAGATTGCATAGCTGAAGCAATTGAGGAGTATCAGGCTCACAATTCGAGGTATTAATGCACGAGGCGATATGGAGTATTTACTGTACGTCCAACAACAATGCGAGTAAACCTAAGTCATTGCAACTCATTGGAGGCACATGAGACCTTCCCATCAAGCCATATCTGACTCCCCTAATAATATTTCAGCCTCACAAGATGTATCTTGTGTAGGTAGGTATGCCCAATCTGACACTTGGCACTTGACACCGAGGCTATCCACATCTGGAGACGAACATCCGAGTCTGGACTTTCCCAGCCTCTGACCGACTCGCTTGCACCACCACCCCTGACAAGCCGAACGAATCGCGCCAACCTCACTCTAGATAAGCCAGAAGGGTCGTGAAACTCGAGCTAGCTAGCAACACCTTGCGTGCACGAATGAGCAGTGCCTGGGTGGGGAGTCGCTACGGACTAGAATCCTCTCTCAGTCAAGGGCTTAGTAGGCCTGAGTTGAAGCTTGAAGCTCAACTTGTTCTTTCGTCGCAGATGATAATATGCTTGAGCGGTGACCATGACTACTATGGCAGTAGTCTACTAGGCGACGAATTCGGATTATGGAAGGGGAGGAGAGAAGCTGCCGTTGGGGAATTTCATTGTTGTGTACTGTGTATATCGTACTGGCGTCGCGTGGGTCGCTCCACTGTTTAGGAAGGTGGAGCCTAGGCCCACTAAATGTCGATGCTAATTTACAGTTTAGTCTACATCACGGGCTGAGGCTCGCCAGTCCACAAGTCGTAGCTGTGGTTCAAAATGCCCCGATAGTTGATATCCATCTAGAACAATGATTAAGAATTGCGAAAGTAATGTTGGAATGACCATTTGAGCCCAAATCGCCGAACCAATGATTGCATACAGCCCACCCATCCTCTTCGACAGCTGTGAACAAAAGTACCTTCAAAGGACATCGTTGTCATACCAAGGACAAGTACCAAGGACAAGCGAACAAGAAGTGATGAGGGACCTAACAAAATAAAGTCGTGAAAGGCAAAGGGCAGAAAAGGAAAGTGTCCAGAAGAAAGAAGAGTCAATTTCGTAGTTAGGGCGAACAAGGACAAAAAAGGGAATAGAAGAAGTCGCAACATAATGTCCTGTGTCCTGGGAGTAATGTTCGCCTACAGTGCCCATGTCCCTGAATTGCCGTTCCCAACGTTCCTCTTGTGTATCATATCCGTGGAGGCTAAGTAACAGACAAAAAGAAAGATCAAGACCATTCAATTATCACATTGTAGAGTAAAAAGTCGTTCCGACAGGCGTGGCTTCCCTTACAGCAGCAAATCCGGCGATTTCTAACAACAGCCTTGCTTCGACTCAGTATCCGGAGCCTTGCTGACTTCAATCGTGCGGCCACTGCTGAGGGGGGCTTGTCCGGAGTCACCATTATCCAAAGCCTTGCTGGAGACGATGCGGTAGATTTCTAGTAACACGTGAGTCCAGTGAGACTAGGAGCCATGAATAGAGGGAGCGAACCTGTGAGGATGTTTTGGAAGGCAAGCTCTACATTGCTTGCGTCGAGCGCAGATGTTTCGATGAAAGAGAGGTTGTTCTCGCCTGTTGCGTTCCGAGAAAATGTAAGTAAATCAATGCCTGAGTGGCTGCCTGGACAATGAACGTACTCGCAAATTGCTTAGCCTCATCTGTTGGCACGGCGCGAAGGTGTCTCAAATCACTCTTGTTTCCGACGAGCATGATGACGATGTTGGAATCGGCGTGGTCGCGGAGTTCCTTCAACCAGCGGTTGACATTGTCGTAGGTCTGGTGTTTGCTGATATCGTACACAAGAAGGGCACCGACAGCGCCACGGTAATAGGCAGATGTAATGGCACGGTAGCGTTCTTGACCGGCAGTATCCCAGATCTGCGCCTTGATTGTCTTGGAATCCACCTGGATTGAGCGGGTTGCGAACTCGACACCAATGGTAGACTTGGAGTCTAGGTTGAACTCGTTGCGGGTGAATCGACTCAGAAGGTTGGACTTGCCAACACCGGAATCACCAATAAGCACCACTATTCAAACGGTCGTCGCAGATTAGTTATGGGGTCTGTTGAGGGGAGTATGATGCCGAAAACATGAAACTTGCGGCGACTGCGCGGGGAAAGTGGCAACATTACCCTTGAAGAGAAACTATCCAGAATACCCAGATTAGTGACATAGAAAGCTTGGCATAGATAGTGGGCAATGGAGAAGTCACTCACGTCATATTCATCGTTAGCCATGGTGGATAAGTTGTATGTGAGCTAATACGCTCTACGACGAGTTTCTGAGATTCGACGTGGCCGACTGGAGGTCGTGGGAACTGTAGGGACAATGGGACCAAATTAAGCCTTGGGGACGTAAGACGGTCAGTTCTAGGATCGATGAAGAGCCATAGGTGCGAAAGAAATTGCAGAGGAAGAGTAACACTTACAGGAAAAAAGAGCAAGGTGGGAAGAAAAATAGGAGTTATCCTGATGCCTCTTGGGGATGAAGCGTCCTTGTCTCCCTACTGCTTCCTGTGCTTGTTGCGGTGCCGAGTGGACGCTGCCTATTCGGGACTAGTAGCAGATCACGTGCTTGTCCCTTGTGTGCGCCAGCTAGAAATGTTGTTTGTTATGATCTGTAAGAGGACGCTACGAGGTTGAAGGTTTCTCATCTATTAAACAGAAAGATAACTCCTTTAAGAAGCGACTCAGAAGATGAACTCTTCTTGATGTGCTCGTTGGCATCTTCTGGTGTATTCTCAATCGAAGCTCTCTTTCCCGTTCGATTCTCTACTTAATGGTTTGAAACAGCCAAAAAGGAAAATCAAATACTTTACAGCCCATGAGACTTCAGAACGTCATGGTAGGCTCTGTCACTTTGCCTTGGCATCTTATCATCGCGGCGGATTGAAGTACATTCATCTTACATCGGATCATTTTAATATTGAATGGTTTGGATCCTTCTGCTCTCATTGCCATTGCTCTAGATTTCGCTATCTCGCTTCTGTATGCTCAGATGGGAAAGACCATTGCAGCTTGATGTCGACATGAGCGACGATGATGATATCTCGATTACATCAACTGCACCCAGTGAGCAGGAGTCTGAATATGAAGTGGAAACTATCTTGGCTGAGCTTGAATTTGACGAAGGCATCAAATATTTGGTGAAGTGGGCTAATTACCCAATTGAACGATGCACGTGGGAACCCCCCGAATCCTTTTGCAATGAACAGACTTTGATCGACTGGAATAAGAAGAAAAAGGCAGTTGCAGAAGGAAAGCGTCCAGCATTTGATCTTGTCAGGTTTGAAAATCATCTAGCTGCCCTTGAGAGCGCAAAACATGACAGGCAGCAAAGAAGAGCCGCAAAGAGGAGACGTCTGGGGCTTGACGGACCCCAGCAAAGTCATCCTACTTTGGAGAGCCCTCCGAGTAATAACGTGCCTGACCCAAGGATTCCTGATTGTACTGGCTCCAATGATATCGAAGTCGACAGATCGAAGGCTTCATCCGGACAAACTCCCCGAACGAATGCCCGCGGAGGAAGTGCGCAAACTCAAACTCAACAACTTCCAAAAAGACCACCTCTCCCTATCTTATTCGGAACTGCCCCGGCTCCCACCCGCCCGAAAAGGATGAACAGCTCCGAGACGCCAAAGTTATTCAATCTGTCGACAAGATGGAAGCACGAGAAGGCGAAAGCTTATGAACCACCTCCTGATATGAACCAGCTGCAACTCATTCGGCCATCCGACTGGCCAGCAAGGAGTGGGCTCGCTGCGACAAAGTTAGGGCTGCACAGCGTCAGCTCGCCTAGCGCGAAGAATGACGCCAGTACCGCTACGCTCGAATCTCGTAATTTGAGCTTACCCACGCAGGATGGGCCAGTCTCGGCGAAGCTAGGTCATCATGATGTTAGCTCTCCAAAGGAGGGTGACTTGAATAGCGTAAAGATTGGATCGCACGTTACCTCGTCGAAGCAATTCAATGCAAGTCCGGTGAAACTAGGCTCGCATAATGTGAGCTCTCCTAAGTCAGTCACTTCGGGAAGACTAGACACGTATAATGTCAGTTCGTCAAACGGAATCAATGACAGTGCATTGGATCCAGAATCGCATGATGTCGGTTCGCGAATGGACCTTGATTCGGAAAATGAGGCTCAAGGCCAAATTGGCCAAACTTGGGAGAGTGGGGCCCTGAGTTCACCGAATCGCGCACGGTATGGGTCTTACAAGCCGAATCACAGCGTGCCAGGCACATACAGACCAACGTGCGCTGCGAATACCTGGAGACCCGACCGACCATTGCCAGCTAGCTGGAGTCCAAGCCAACCTTCCGGTGACAGTCTGAGACCCAATACTAGCTCCCCAATCCATCGCCATGTACTCGAGGACTATCCGATACCCAAGCTCCCAATGAGGGAACCAAAACCAGGGGCCTACGTCGTCAATAACCGCCAACAGTATTACTGGAATCCTGGTGAGCTCCTTGTCTATCTTTACTACGGCCCAGAGAAGAAGGAAATTGGTTCGGCCAGGCTCTGTGGCCTGAGTTCCGAGAGTCGAAACTGGCTCATGTCTACCAAAAGAGGCAGTCGAATCCATGTCTGGTTTCAACATACATGTAACCTGGAAGAGTATAATGTCCTGTGTGAGAACACGGTAAGTCAACTTCTACGACTTTTCTTCCCATTCGCTGCTCTGAAGACTCTACCAGAATTTGCTTCTTCTACTTTGCGGCCTGGTTTTGTTTACTCCCAGTAGAGCTCTTGTTGCTGACCGGAGGCAGAAAAACAATCAGAAGTTCTCCAGTGGTTGGATAGAAGGGTTCGATGACACAGAGCCGAGCATCTACAAAATTGGGGAAGAACTTCGTCGTAATGAGCTTGTGGCCATATTATATCCAGCTCCAAAGAGCAGGATGCAGATGGTGTTACTTGCCTATTCCCCAAAGTCGTCAGACTTTGCGTTTCTCAATGCAGATTCTGCCCATTTTAGAATCCCTGAGGACGTTTTCCTAAATGTTGCAGTCCGAAGCCCGTTGCAAGGGTTTGACACCATAACTGCTCGGCGTGAAAGAAAACAGCTTTGTGCTGAGTCACACAACCCAGTACCCCTCGCACTCATAACTCCCCAGGATGCTCCAAGCAGAGCTCGACCTACCGGAGCTGTGGCTACCCGGCCTCCTCCTGTGAGCGTTCCTGATGTTTTGACTCTAGAAGCTGGGAGGCGTGTCAATGAAATATCCAACCTTCGCATTCAAATTTCGACGGACAGCAAAGTCATGACACCAAAAGCGTCTGAAGCGTTAGACGTGACAAAACCATTTGATGCAGCAAATGACTCAGTCTCAACAGACACAACTAGTGTAGCCCCCAAAATTTCAACTCAACCCCCTGGCGCCTACAAACCCCAGAACACACCACGAGAATTAGAGCATGCGAACTTGGCTGTACAGGATCCCGCACAAGGGACCAGCACACTATTATCAACATCGCAGGCTCCATTGCCGAGAGAAAGGACTACGCAACCAGCAACCGAGACCTCATCTATGACCTCTAAGGCTCGAACAGCGCCGGAGGCAGACCCTGGACTTTCTTCCCGCCTGAAACACGATGCGAGCATGTCTCAGTCTATTGCAGGTGATGTTAGATCGCTGTCGCAGCCATCTGAGAATACTCTTGATCTGGATGCGGTCTTCAAAGAACAATTTGGTGTCACCTATGATCTCCTGGCGACTGTGAACGATGCTGAGAAGCCTACGAAGGCTCAAGTATTCTACTTGATGTTTCCTGCCGGGTCCGAAGTAGTGCAGGAAGAGTACGAAGTTATGCACGAGTTTTTAAGAAGACACAATGCTGTGACCTATTCAAATCGCCTACCGGAAGATTGGGAGAGATTTGCACGCACGATACAGAAGGGGGTTGTCTTGGTCAGTCAGGAAGCCCCATTTACTAATAATCCAGCAGCTGCGCTGACTCAATGAAGGCTCATGAAAGCTTTCTGAATTACCATGCCCTACCTTTCATCAAGGAGCTGATTCATCGAAGTGTCAGCTTCTGGAGTCTTTCATTAAGAAAGCCACTACAATACGCTGACCACCCCACGTACATTCAACGGGTATTCCCTCATGGTGGTGTCATCCTAATCACAGAAGACTTCATGCTTAGGGAACCAGACGCCACGCTCATCATCCTGGCGTGGCTAAAGGATTGGATAAAGCAGAAATTCCCAGGGAGTTGGAAGGTCATGTTCCGTCCAAATATCCTGGACTGGCTCCTGAAGCAATCTGAATCGGAAGATCCATTCAGGCAGGGAATGTAAGTCCCTTATGTAGCCTTGTCGCTTTCTCCCTTCTAACCGGATACCTCAGATGGTTGAGCATGTATGCTCTGATTCTTCAATTAAACAATCGCGTGGCAGGCTCAGAACAGACCGGAGCAAATACTCTCAGCGGCGCCAGCGGTGAGTACACTGAAGATCCTGTGGTTTCACTTGACGCCATCCCACTCTATGGGTCGCGCACCGAAGATGATGATGCGAGTATACCGAAAGGCCTCACACAGGAGCAAAGGAACACCGACCACCTTGGAGAATTTTTCGCCGGTTGGGCAATAGTCAACAACCACAGGTTCAGACGGTTCGTCATGCTCACGGCAGTGAAACCTCTACCGAGATGGGAAGCCTGGCAACATATTGAGATCAGATATGGGGCAAAAGATTTTATGAAGACCTTCAACGTCAAGTACAAGACGTACTGGGACAAAGTGAGGCCTAGGCTAGGGAAACCAGGTCTGTCGTCGGAGGCGAAATCCCAAAACCAGAATCCCGCCTATACACCCCGAACACCTGCAGCGAATGGACCTTCAGCCGATGAGCTGGATGTCTCGAGGGTCGGCGGGTTTTCTCACGGCCCTTCGAGGCTGAAATACCCCCAACCGTACCAATGAACTGAAATGATTTGCTTTTGCTCTATGCCTAGAAGGAGTGGGTTTCATAATCTTATTTTCGTGCCCTTTGGTTCTAGGGGCGATTGTCACATCAGATACCCATGTAGTAGCAGTTTTTACATCAAACATCTACAGAAGATTGGCCAGTGGCCAGAAAGTATTGAGAAGAGACAAGGGTCATATCCTTCGCTAGATTCCAAAACTTCCAAACGCCGTACGAACTTGAAATATAAAACCCAATCGCTCACTGCTTGAAGTATGTATGGTCAAATCCATGGCTAGGAAGGTATCACATGCCGGCGTCATATATATAGTCAAGACCCCCTCGAGCGACCGTCATGCCACACAGCATATCTCGCCTAAAATCCCGCTGCACGAGTCCGGTACTCTCGAAAATTGGAGACACTAGTTTGGTTCTCAGTCCCTTGGCCCTTTGTTTTCTTCTCTTTGTCACTCTTCTCCTTCCGCACCTTCTCCTCCCACTTGCTCTCCTCGGCTGCAATCAAGGAATGGAAACGGCCCCCCTGGCCTCGGGAAAGGTATATCGGTTTCTCCTTACGATCTGCTACGGCCTCTGTAATGAGCACAAACTTGACGCTTGACCCGGGTGTCTCGAACATGGCATCGCTTAGAATATTTTCCATCTCCGTGCGGAGCGCACGTGCCCCGGTTCCCATTGCGAAGGCATTGGCAGCGACCTTGTGCAGGGCTGGGGTTGTGAAGCGAAGCTCGATGCCCGAGAGCGAGAAGAGGGTTGTGTACTGCGCAACCAGTGAGTTTCGGGGTTCCGTTAGAATTCGGACAAGTAAGGGCTGAGACAGTGCTGAGAGTGCAGCGGTGACCGGGATACGACCTATTAATTCTGGAATGAAGCCGTAGTTTTGCAAATCGGTAGGGTTGAGGAGGTCTAGGGCGTTGAAATAGGGTGGTTCCCCGTCTGGTGATGTGGGTGAAGCTGCCGTGAAAAATGGCAGATGTTTCTTGTACAAGGCTTCTTCCTCGGACCCTGGTAGGATGGGAACAGGCTGGTTGGATGTAGTGGCGAGCGGATCTCCAGGTCGCTGAGTTGGACTTGACTGTGAGCGGACAGGTTGGCCGAATCCCATCGATCCGTGCGATATCCGGTCCATGATGACCTTATGTAGTCCCACGAATGCGCCTGAGAATATAAATAGAATGTTATCAGTGCGTACGTTGTATATTTCCCCTTTCTGTGGAGCGTTGCCTGTAGGAGGTTGCGAGAATGGAGGGTTCCCTAACGGGCTGTTCGATGGAAATGAGCTCGGGGTACCGCTCGTTCGGTGAGCATTCCTCTCCTGCTTCGCTTGAACTTGGACTGTTGTGCCCTCGATTATTTTAAGCAGTGCCTGCTGCACTCCTTCGCCACTGACATCCTTTCCATGACTGACTTTGGCGGCCGCTATCTTGTCCACTTCATCCAGCACGATAATTCCCCGCTCGGCTTGCTCCACGTCATAGTTCGCAGCCGCCAGAAGTCGGTGAACACATACCTCCGCATCCTCTCCAATATATCCTGCCTGCGTGAAAGGCGTACAGTCAGATATGCTGAATGGCACCGAGAGAATTCTCGCAAGTGTTTTGGCCATCAGTGTCTTGCCCACCCCCGAAGGTCCTAGTAAGAGAATATTGGATTTCTCCAATTGAAGTGGAGACGAATCGCTAAGAAGTGCTTCATCGGGACTGGACGTCGTTGATTTCGAGTTCAGAGGTGAATGAACAGTGCGTTGGTGGCCTGGAAACTCATCTTTTCAACGTTTAGCTTGATTTGAGAAGGATACAGGGGGTATAAGGCTTACCCTCTGCAGGATGATGCTCCAATGCTTCTCTTCGGGCTCGCCTTGCTAGCAACTCCGCGTTCTCTTCCTCCCTTCGTTGAAGCTCTTGTACTCGTTGGTAATGATTAAAAACAGCAACACTAAGAATTTTCTTTGCTCGATCTTGTCCCACCACAAACTGATCCAGATATTGTTTCAATGTCTTGGGTGTGATACGAGGAGCTCCAAACGCCGGAGTAGACCCCAAAGGGCCAGCTGTTGGTAAACCAGCTTCATAGATGCCAGACCAGGGCTGGTTTGTAAAATCTGATCTATTAAATTCGGATGATGTGGGAAAAGATTGAGCAGAAGATGCAAAACCGCGGTTTGCCCGACAAGTCTGGCAGATAGCTACATGCCGATAACGGAGCAGGGAACTGCGATGTGCTCCTAAGGCACATTTAAGGCCGTGAGCGCGAACATGTAGTCGCAGCATTACCAGGCGCCAGGTTATCTAGAAAGATCTCAGGAAGAATTTCAAGGTAGATCAGTGTATAGAGCAAGTGAAGTCCAGGAGCTCTGGCGAAGCAGTGAGGATGACGCTGATAAGATGATGGGGATTGATAGCTTTCCCCGCAGCACGTGAGCGATATACTCCGTATCGGCCGACGGTATCCGACGGGCCGTCTCGCTGCGATCATTCTACCCAAGACGACCAGCTTCATGAAGTCTAAAATGGTAGTGAAATGGAACTACATGAGTCCGAGAACGAAAAGGAAGGATTCCTACAAACGATCTGGTGCTTGAAGCGAAGACGACGCACGTATCTTCAACCGTGCAAGGAAGGGAACCCCAGACGCCAGACGAATTATTTCTAATATTTTCAAAAGTATTCTTGACACTATCTTGTGCTGCTGTTTGTCATTGTGCGTAATGACTATCATGTTCAAAGTTGGCTAGGGTGCAGCCGATACACGGATTCAAGATTCAGCCAAATGCCAGGAGTCCAGTCTTGAGTCTCCCAATTGAGATTTGGCTTGCTACAAGACTGAGAACCATTCCCCTGAGGTGGTTCTAACGCGGATAATGAGCCTTATGAGCACCTCGTATGGAACCTTGGCAGCGCCTGCTTCGCCAAAGCAGCTTTCCACCAACTGGTGAAAGGTTTCCTCGCACAGCTCGCTCCCGGTCCTTATAGGGCATGGACTCTATGACCGGCATAGATCCCCAGCTTCTAGGAGGTTGATTAAGGTTGTCATCTGTACAGAACAGGACATGGGTGATTGGCCAAAGACCTTCCCGTAGATCCTCATCGTTATTAAAGTGCGCTCATGGCTTCGTCTTAAAAGCGGGCTGCTGCTCCATTGTCTGTGAGATAAAGTTTCGCAATGCTGCCCACCGATTCGAAGCGGAGCTGGCTTCGTTTTGAGGCTTAGCGTCGGGTTGCACATTCGTTTGAATGGTCGACATCTGAGCCATGTTCTTCGCGAATCGATCCCGTTCCAATTTCTCCAGTTTCTGTCTGCGTTTCATCGCACCCGGCTTATGCTGCAAAGTTTTCTGCTTGATGATGTTCACTTGATTGTTGGGATCATTCATTTCAGTTTCTGTCTCAGGCAAGGCATCGGCAAGTGACTCGAGATTGGCAACGAGCTTCTTTGATGCGCGACGCCGCTTAGGGGCCTTCTGAGAGCTCTTCTCAATCTTCGATACGAAGCTGGCATGTTTGATCAAACGTTTATCTCGTTTTGTTGTTCGAAAGTCGTCTTCAAGATAGGCCGAGTTGGTGGATGAAACGGGCCCTTTTCCACTGGAGGGCTTCTTGGTGGTGTTGACTGCCTTATTGACCGGGCGGATCGGAGCCTTGAGATACCATATCGGTTAGATATCCACATAAATCGGGGCAACAAGTGCCTTACCATGTTGAAAGCAAGAGAATTGTGTATCCAAGTGTATCAAGCAGTCTACGAAAAGTTGACTGCCTTTGATCCGCAGCTGCAATTCTTTTCTCCATGCTAATCCTATTAGGGGCTAGTGCCGATAACCCCCATGTTCCCGATAAGCCCCTCATTCACCGCCCACATGATTACCTCAACAGTGCGTGATTTCCCCCCCTTTCAGTGAGACCTCAGTGGACCCCAGTCTAGTAAGGTACTTAGTAGTCCTGCTAAATCTCCGTCGTCTTTGATTTGACCCTAACAAATAATCACTACTGGCTTAGCCAACCAACGAGACGTACGGCTACATAGATAGTAGGTACTTTCCATGTCGACCAAAAAATTAAACACTATCAACTTATGAAATTTCGATTCCCCTTAGCACCCTAGCCGCCGAGTCGGAATCGGGACAGGAAGATCCACATTCACGGGTACCAAACCCGCCGTGTCCTTTTCGCTCTGACATCAGAGAGCCACCACAAGGTCTCTGATTGAAAGATTTGCCATTACCTTGCAGAACTCCGTGGATGCTGTCTCCAGTGCGCCTTTTATCTTGTCGGACCTGCATTCCTGAGTCTCGTGCCACTGCCATCTTGCCTCGGTACCCGGCTTCTCAGTTCCTAACCACTCGAATCATAAGAAAAATTTCGCCTCTGTCGATCAGTTTCAGGACTTTTAAACCGCTATTTCTCAGTTCTGTTCGGTTCATGTCTGGTAGCAGTATCGGGTCTACCTTCAACGATACGACCGAAGCATCCAAGATGGGCTCTCTATCACCGCACCTCCGGAAGCACAAGGTCGCCGTAATTGGCTCAGGGAACTGGTATGCTCATGATATGCTGGGTGCGGTTCGAATGCGGAATGGGAAGCTGACTCTATGTTCTTAAATAGGGGCACTGCTATCGCTAAGATTGTTGCCGAGAATACAGCCAGTCACGACTCCATCTTCGAGAGAGATGTTCAAATGTGGGTATTCGAGGAGAAGGTTGAGATCCCCAAGAATTCCCGGCACTACGATCCATCTTCGCCCTTGTGTCAGGGTCCCCAGAATTTGACAGAGATAATCAACAAGACACATGAAAATGTCAAATATCTACCCGGAATTGCCCTGCCTGAGAACATCCACGCCAACCCGTCCGTGGTAGATGCTGTGAAAGACAGCACGATCCTCATTTTCAATCTTCCTCACCAATTTATCAACAAGACCTGCGAACAAATCAAGGGCAAAATTTTACCCTATGCCCGTGGCATTTCCTGCATCAAGGGCGTCGATGTGACTGAGGAGGGC